GCAGCCTCGACCTGCTGGGCTCCAGCGATCCTTTCGCCTCAGCCTTCCAAGTAACCGGAATTACAGGCATGCGCTACCACGCCCGGCTGATTTTGTGATTTTATTGTTGAGATGAGGTCTCGCTGCCCAGCCGGGTCTCGAACCCGCAGGCTCAGGCAATCCACTCACCTCAGCCTCCCAAAGGCACGGGATTACAGGCTGAGCCACCAAACCCGGCTAGCTGAAGTCTTATAGGTACAGTTTTGTGTTCTGCTTTTTAAAAAATTAATACATAAATTCAAATACAAGGATCATAAAGCAGTTTGAACACTAGTGTTTCTATTAAGTTGTTGAAGTTGATACTGAATTGCTTCTGCCATGCATTGTTTGGTTTTTCTGTTGAGTCAGTTAATTGGTGATTCTTGTCCGGACTGCAGAACTGAGATGAACTTTTAATTCATTATTACTATGAAAAGCTCGAAGATTGAAGATTTTACTATATGAATTTATGAATTGAGTTTAGTATATTATGACTGGTTCTTAGCTGTAATTTATGCCAGCGAGTGGCCTTTGTTGTTGTTTCTTAGTTAAATTACACAGATGATTTGGTCTTGTCCTGTAGTTGAACAGCGATACTTTTCTCTGTTGTTTGTGCCTACTTCCTTTTGAGAAAAAAGGTATGATGTAATCCTGACCTTTTCAATTCCCGAAGTAATTTCAAGCACTAATTAAACACTTCCTGTCTACATCTACATTAAGACTTTGTATATTTATTAACTTAAGGTAGAGACATGTATTTTATCTATATGATATTGAGGTCTCAATAAATTGTGATGCTAGCAAGGCTTGCTGGTTATCTGTTTTATGTCCTGTGTCTTTGGATTATGTCTAGTTCTTAGCATTTTTCAGTGTAAACTACCATAAATCTTGAAATGAATTATTTAACTGATAACCTTTTTCATAAATGATTATAAGAAAATACAATTCTCAGGTTAAAGAACAACAATTTGGTAGAGTTTCTTATAATTCAGTTGATGTTGGTTTATATATTTTGTATATAATTATGGACAAAATAATATTGATGTAAAATTATAGCCATTCCTTAAAGTTTTTGTTTAAATTTTGAACATGTTGTGTGGCTAAATACATAAGTATTATTATTCTTCAGGTCTTAAGTTAGCTGGTGGTTTTTTTTTTTTTTTCAGTCTCATGAATTTAAATGACATTTGGGTTGTCGAAGTTTAAAATTCACAGAAGCAATTAGTAACTTTTGATTCGTGTTTTAGTAGATAAGTAGATTGAATCTGGTCATTTTATCCTCAGAAGATAGGAATTGTGAAGAAAAAAAGGGTTAGAGAATCAATACATGTAAAGTAGCCAACTGGATTAAAAATGTAATTAACTTATTGATTAAAATTTAGCAGTAGATAGCAAGCACTTCTCCAAATCCTTGCCTAAGATTAAAGAGAAAATTAGAGTGAAGTGCAGCATGTTTTTAAAGAATCCAGTTTATCAGGTATTCACATCAAGATTTTATTTTTTCTATGGTTTGAGAAAAGAGACAGGCAAAATATTAACTTACTGAATAATAATAATAATAATTTTTAGAGATGGGGGTCTAGCTATGTTGCCCAGTCTGGAGTGCAGTGGCTATTCACAGGTGCAATCATGGCTTACTACAGCCTTGAACTCCTGTGCTTAAGTGATTCTGCCTCAGCTTCCTGAGTATCTTGGATTACAGATGTATCCGACCATGCCTTACTCTACTTACTGAATTTTATAAAAATTCTTAAACAAGTAGGAAAAGTGTTGAAAAGGTTGGCTTTTTCTTTCCTACATTGCATGCTAACTTTTTCCCATGATTTAGAACAGGGGTCCCTAACACCTGGGCCATAGCCTGTTAGGAACTGGGCTGTACAGGAGGTGAGTGGCGAGTGAGCAAGTGAAGCGTCATCTGTATTTATAGCTGCTTCCCATCATTCGCATTACCACCTGGGCTCTATCTTCTGTCAGATCAGTGGCAGCATTAAATTCTCCTACAAGTGTGAACCCTATTGTGAATTGTGCATGTGAGGGATCTAGGCTGCACACTCCTTATGAGAATCTAATGCCTGATGATCTGAGGTGGAGCTGAAGTGGTGATGCTAGCACTGGAGAGCCACTGCAAATACAGATTAACATTAGCAGTGAGGTTTGACTGCACAGAGACCATAATAAATCACTTGCTTGCAGACTCATCGAAACTCTATCAGAGAATGGCAAGTGAGTTGATGTACTTCAATTGTACAGCTGCATCCAGTGGCAGGATTTAAGTCAGAATCTGACACTTACTTTAATCCACACATGGCCCACTCATTATTTTGTTTACCACTTCCATTTGTGTCTCTTTTTTAAAAAAAATGATGAGTTGTATAATTATTTCATTATACATTACAGTGTAATAATAATAGAAATAAAATTGCACAGTAAATGTTATATGCTTGAATCATCCCCAAACCATCCCTCCTTCCTTCCCCCCAGTCCATGGAAAAATTGTCTTTCACAAAACCAGTCCCTGATGCCAAAAAGGTTGGGGACTGCTGACTTAGAAAGACACCTTTATGTCCAGAAAGAAATCCCATGTTATTGGTTATTACCTTTAGTACCACTGGTGATTCTCTACTAACCCTTCTCTGTGTTCTTTTGGTGGTATCTTTTTGGGTCATTCTGAGTAGACTTTCATGGTCTTTTGAGCTTCTTCCATATCTTTTGGACTGTAATTGTGTACTTTTCTTGTGTAAACTAATTTTGAATAATTTACTTGTGCTAGTTAATTCAAAAATAGGCATTACTGTGTTGGATATCTCATCAGAGTATTTCATTTTCCCTGTTAACTCTTGCAGTGGTTTTATGGTGCATGGCGAGTAAGCATTAGTTGTATTAGTTAGGTACCCAGCTTTGTAGCACCTGGACATTTTGTAAACTCAACATGGAAATAATGGATCAGTTCAAACTTTGTTTATATGCTTGAATAATACTGATTCTTTTTTTCTGTGTCATGAAATATAGTTTTTAAGTGTATGTTTTTACTTTTTTAATAGGTAATATATTAATATGGTTCAGAATTCAAAATATAGGAAAAATTAGAAATTCAGTAAAAAAATATTACTATGTAAGAAACACATTGAGAGTTTTCTGTTCAAAATACTTACTGTAATCTGACTTTGTTTATAGCTTTAAATGACGCCTTAGATCTTGTGTGTTAACCTTTCTTTGATGCTGTCTTTGTGTTCATATTTTCCTGAGTTTCTTTTTTCTTTGAGTAAGGTGTATCTAGTTTTAAAATATTTTATATATGCTTCACTATAATCATGAAAAAATTAGTTCCTAATCAGAAGCTTCTTCAGAGCATCATGGTGTCTCTTAGGAGTGACGAGTTTGGGCTGAAGTTCAATTTCCTCTAGGAATTGCCTCCTTTAAAAAAATTCGTTTATTTACTTAATTTGAAAATGATCAAAGAAGTCTCCAATATATATAAAGAGAATACTCTGAATCCTTAGATGTGTGACTCTTAAAATATAGATCTTGATTCAGAAGGATCATTTGCTATTTCAAAATGCAAGTCTCAGATACAAGTCAATGCAGATTCACCACCTATTAGCTAAAAAGACAAAAATGTAAGATTTGGTCTGATATGAGAACATCACCAACATAAATTGTTAATTGGAAAAAGTACAAAAAAGTGCATATTGTATACCATCTTTTATTTTTAAAGAATAGGAAAATAAAATATATGTTCATATTTGATTGAATATGTGAGGTTTTGTTTTGTTTTTGAACCATATGCATACTATATTAAAAGTGAATTTAAAATTTGTTTTAAAAATACATTTATTAAAAACATATTTAAAAATAAAATTTACAACTTGGAAATCAAGCATAATCATGGTTATTTTCCCAGGAAAATAGATTTAGGTTGAAGGTACTTTGAGTATATCAAAAAAGACCATGGACTGAATGCTACGAGAAATATGTCTTATAGACTATCTTCTTTCTGTCCCTGCCCCCAAATGGCAGAGATCTTATTTTATTGTGACCTTTTTTCTTTCTCTTTTTTTTTCAAAGGCTGGTGGGATAGCAGGTGTATCTGTTGACTTGATATTATTTCCTCTGGATACCATTAAAACCAGGCTGCAGAGTCCCCAAGGATTTAATAAGGCCGGTGGTTTTCGTGGAATATATGCTGGCGTTCCTTCTGCTGCTATTGGATCCTTTCCTAATGGTAAAAATTGTATTGCTATTATTGCTGCTATAAAGCCAAGATAATGAGATTTATTTTCAGAGTGGTATATGGTCTTACCCCACATAATTTCTTGTGTGTTGAAGCTTATCTTCTGAATTTTTCTGTTTTAACCCATTATTTTTGAATCAGTTAGTACTGTGGGTTCCATTCCAGTGTGTTTGTAATAGGAAAAAAATGAGTAATCTTTTAAAAATTATTTTTGTTGTTAAAATCCTTAGTGTTATTTTACCATTGATTGTGATTCTTTAGAGTAGTGGTTCTCAGCCTTGCCTGCACATTGAAATCTTGGGAAGCTTTAAAAAAATACTGATGCCTGTGTGTCACCCCCAGAAATTTCATTGGTCTGGGCTTTGTCTGGGTATCAGGAGTTTTAATAGCTTCCCAGGTGATTCTCAGGTGAAGCCAAGTTTGATTCTGCCTTGGAGAGTTCTGTGGAGCAGGTGAACCTAAGAGGCATTAAATATTTCTATCTTAACCAAATTGCTATTAGATGATGCAAGTGTTTCTCACCAATGTTCTCCTGAGTACTCTCCTTCTGGTGTATTGGTTTTGAAGTCAGGTTATGTGACTTATGTTCCCCTTACTCAATAGTCAGTATGATCTGTTTTATTTATCCACGTCTTGGTATACTTTTTTCAGATACTTATTTAAATTGTTTACTGATAGATGCTTCTAATGGCTTTCAAAAGTAAACCAAGGCAACAAACAAAATTCACCACACACAGACAACCACAAAACCACTGCTCTAGGAGATGCTTAAATTCTGGAGTTTTGCTTTCTTTTTTCTCTGGGTAATTCATGAGAAATATTTTCTCCTATGTTAACCAGACATTTAAATGCCAGTCTGTGAACACAGCTTTCATGTAAAGCGGGGAAAGAAAAAAAAAAGCACTAGTGTTTCTATCCTTGTGTTTTTCTTTCCCCCTTTTCCCCAGAAGTCCTTGGAACCAAACTATTTTGGGGTTATTCTTGAATTTCAGTATGTCTTAATACTTTGAGTAATTGGTTGTCACAGGTTGCTATTGAGTATCCACTGCAAGCCAAACGTTGTTCTAAGTATGGGAGAGGGGCATTGGGATCACTTTACTACTGAAGAGCTTAAACAAATACTGTTGACCCTTGAACAACTCAGGGGAGAGGGGTGCTGACCCTCTGTGCAGTTGAAAATCTGAGTATAACTTTGGACTTGCTTAAAACTTAACTATTAATAGCCTAATGTTGACTGGAAGCCTTACCGATAGCAGAAACAGTTGATTAATGTATTATGAGGACAAGGAGGATGAAGACCTTTATGATGATCAAACTTCTATTTAATTAACAGTTAATATATTTCTCTTTCTTATGCTTTTCTTAACATTTTCTTTACAATATTGCACTAAACATGACAAAATATACACGAGAACAGCGAGAGATCCTTTATCCTACAGTCCATAATTTAATGGAGAGACAAATTGCTCCTGTGGAGATTAGCATCATATGATGTTGTAAGAGGATACTTGCAATATTTGAGCTTACCACAATAGCAACAGTATGTGGATACGAAATTATTACAGTAGTACAGTATTACTAAAGTAAATTTTAGGGAGTTATGATTTAATACAGCATCTTCACATTTGTTTACATTACTCTGTGCGTGGCATCATGTGTGTGTGTAAGTTTTGATGAATTTTAACTTTTTATAATAGTTTTGTTATATTTTATGATAGTAAGTGTTAAAATAGACTAGTATCTATGTATATTTTATGCATTCATGAAATACCTAACTTTTTCTTAATTTTTTCAATACTTCTATGCTATGTGGTTTCTAGGTTTTAGTCTGAGTACAGGACTCCACTGTAATTAATGGCAGTAGACATTTTTGTGAACCTATTCTGCAGGACTGAGGGGTTGGGCTGGAGGGGACTAAAGATGGAAAGAGGGTAAGAAAAGACTTCAGCCAGGCTCAGTGGCTCAGCCTGTAATCCTGCGCTTTGGGAGGCCAAGATAAGTGGGTTGCCTGAGCCCGCGGGTTCGAGACCTGTCTGGGCAACTTGGTGAGACCTCATCTCTACAAAAATCAAAAAATTAGCTGGGCATGGTAGTGCGCGCCTGTAGTTCCAGCTACTTGGAAGGCTGAGGTGGAAGGATCGCCGGAGCCCAGCAGGTCGAGGCTGCGCTGGCCGGGAGCGGCCACTGCACTCCAGTCTGGGCGACGGAGTGAGACTCCAACTCAAAAAAAAAAGAAAAGACTTCAGATTGTCACAAATCTCCTAAAGATTTTCTAATGTGTTTATTTAAAAAATTCGTACAAATGGACCTGTGTACTTCAAAGGTCAACTTGTGTTATTCAAGGGTCAACTGTACTGATACCTGTGGCCCACCCCTAGAGATTGTGATTTAATTGGTCTGAGGTGTGGCCTGGGTATTGGAGGTTATAAAAAATCCAAAGATGATTCTAATATTCAGACAAACTTGAGAACCTCTGAACTAAGAAGTTGCAAAGGAATGTGTCACTAAATTCCTATGTTTTGCCCACCAGTTTTTATGTTGTCTTCTTCATTTAGATTCATTCTTCTCTTACATATTGCACATAAGGATTATTGTGGTTGAGTAGAGTATTAGCTGCTGTGGTATTCTTAAGATCACGGGACTGTTTTTCATTCTTTCCCCAGTAGTTTACATACAGTATGTGGTTTTGAATTTGTGTGTGTTCTTGCCTTGCTTTTCTTTTTTGCCATCCATAAAGCTTTAGTGAATGGGAGGGGCTAGAGAAGCCAAAGTGCCAAGAATTTAGAAATTGGCTTACTGTTTCCTGCAGATTTTGGATGAATTGAACTTTTTTGGATGAATTGAACTTTTTTGTGTGGCACCTTTTTTTCTTTTGCTATTGGTTAAGATTAGTCTGAGTACAGGACTCTGCTGTACTTAATCATCAGTGACTGTAGACGTTTTTGTGAATGTATTCTGCAAGGATAGGGGTTGGGCTGGAAGGAATTGAAGATGGAAAGAGGAGAAGAAAAGACTTGTGTTTAGGACCCTCATTTCTTATTTAGAAGGGACTGTAGATAAAGCATAGTTTTTGTTTGTTTTTCTTTTAAGAGCTAGAAGAGAATGTAGGTGTCAAATAGCCCAGCTCCTCACTTGGAACCTTACTGTGCCAACATTTCCAATTAGCTGAAGCCTTCTTGGATGCCATCTCTGGAGCAGGGGGACGTTTGGAATTTATGTTTCTAAACTACCTTGTGTATCATAAAAGTAGCCATGGAGTCAGACATAGTTATGTGATTAACCATGAAATGGAAGAAGTTTTAGCACTTTTTCACTTTTTCCGAGGGCTCGAGGGGGATGTGGAAGGCAAAAGGGCAGAACTCACAGCTGAACACGATGAGAGATGTTATGGCTGCATATTTAGTGAGTGGGCCAAAGTGAGAAAAGCCATGCAAAGAAGCACAAAAGGGAACAGACTGCACAGAACTGCTGAACTGGTCATTGCTCATCTGAGGACAGCTTGCCTCCTCATTTGACCTGGTGTGTGTTTGTTAGAGGTCTGAGGATCCTTTATAATCTTGCTGGTTTTGAAGGACTTCGGAGAACTGATTTTCACTACCCAGCTGTTTTCCTGAGTGCTTCAGACTTTACTGTGACATGTTCAAATGTCCTTCCAAGGGTGAATTTGTCTTTCCTTTGTCTTTTGTGTCTTATCTTTTATGAAACTGATATTTTTTGATAAACAGTACACAGCAAGTTTTAAAGCCCTCATGTGTAGCTGTGATGAGATCATGGTGATAGGGGTAGCTTTTTCGAGATTTTAATTTCTACTTTTAATTAAGCGGTCGATTATTTTCTTGATGTAAAGGTGAATTGGTATAGTAAAGAATAGCCAAGGTTATTTTGAGTAACCAGCAATAAAACATCCTAGTATACAGGAGGTGCCAACAAAATGTATCACATTTTAAGAGGTGTTCTCTATGTATTCCTTTTTGAAGCTCAGTTAAATTATGGTAGCAATGTGTAGTATGACAATTGCTCAGAGAAAAGGCTTCTGCCATTTTCTTTGACTGTCCTGCCTATTGCATGGTGACACTAGCATTCATTTGATTAACGCCATGTTTTGAGTGACTGTCATACTTAAAATATATTTATATATATATATATATATTTTTTTTTTTCTTTTGGCACCTTGTAGACATTTTTTTTAAAGTTAAGATGTGTTTGCAAGTTTAACCTGTCTATAAATCAATGTGGCTGATTGTTTTATGACTATATTTAGTGGTATTTTGAATCAGAGAAACACATGTTGTTTTCTAAAGTTGACTTTAAAGATGTTAAGTACTTTGTCAGTACAACATGGTAATGCTGTTAGACTGCCTCAGGGTAGGCATTATATTTTCTGCATTTTTGTAAGTCTAGGGTCTGGTATATAACATGGCTTCAGTAAATTCTGAGAGTGAGGGAAGGAAACAGATATGTGTTTAACTATCATCTTTGTTGCTTCATACTTCAATGGTTATTTTCATACCTTTATGAGAAGCATATTTCTTAACAGTTTGAATATATATTTAAACTTTGTGAAAGACTGGCTTGTTTTAAATTTCAGCTGCTGCATTTTTTATCACCTACGAATATGTGAAATGGCTTTTGCATACTGATTCAACTTCATATTTGATGCCTGTGAAGCATATGTTGGCTGCCTCTGCTGGAGAAGCGGTAAGTAAAAAGTTATGTGTATAAAATACTTCAGAAAGGAAAATCATGCATATATTTTCAGTACAGATTTTACTTTGTTTCATTTTTAAAAAAATTATGGAAGTCATAAATCCCAATTAATGTAAGTGGATTAAACATGACAGTTAAAAGATAGAGCCTTAGATAGGATGGAAGAAGAATTTAGCTAAGCGCTAATTACAAGAGACAGATCTAAAACATAACTATACAGAAAGAATACAATTAAATAGATAGAAGAAAATATCCTTGCAAATTGTGGTGACTTTCTTTGTGTTAGCATAACTGAGCCGGAACTACTTTTCCCATTCCCTTTCTGGAATAGTTTTAGGTTAGGTCAACCACAAGAGAAAGTTTACGTGATTTGTAAGGTGGAAGTGAAGCAGCTGCTGTGTTTTTGCTTGAAAGGTTGGTGGGGCCAGGCACTGTCACAGCTCACATACTCTGTTGCCAATTTCTGCTGGCTTACCATGTTGGCTTGTGGCCTCCAGCAATTCCAGCGCCTACTGGATCTTCTCTTTCAGCTTCTTCAAATCTAGGTCACTGTGTGGGTGAAAGGTGCCAGCTTATACTGTAGTTTCTCCCTCACAGGATTATGAAAACTAAATGAGGCCCAGGTTGTCCTTTCTCTTCCCCACTTCCCTGTTGACTACTCTCTGATTTTGGACCCAGCACTAGATGCAGAAGTCACAATTCTATGTAGACTGCTTAATCTGCTCCTGTAGTTGCTGGTCAGATTTTCATAATCCTCATTCTTATCACTCATAGTGGTTTTGCTTCTCTGATGAAACCATAAGTGATAGAGTAATACTAACTGAAATAGAGCTGGCGGAGTAATGTTAATATTGGGCAAAAAAGACTTAAGGAAAAACCAGAGAGACCATTTCATATTGATACAGGAATAGTTCTTTCGGGAGATGTAACAAGCCTGCACCTGTACTGAATAACATAGTCTCAAAACATATGAAGCAAAAACTGACAGAGTTATAAGGAGCAGTGAACAAAACTGTAGTCCCAGTTGGAGATATTCACTTCTCTCTCACAGCATTAAGATCAGACAGGCATAAACTTACTAAGGTCATAGGAGATTTGAACAACACAATGGCAAGATTGGATAAGTGTGGAATTCTGCACACACAATTGAAGAAGACACTTTTTCCCCAAGTGTAATTGGAACTTTAATAAAAATGGACAACCTAATAGTCGACAAGGCAAGTTCCCGTGACTGTAGAGACAGTGTCATGCAGGTCATTTGGTGTCCGATTATAATGAGGTAAAACTGGAAACAATCTCCAAAAGATAGCCTGTCCCTGCCATGTGTTTAAAAAACAAACCTTTTTTGTGAATAATTCATGAGTCAAAGAAGAATATATAATGTGATAAAATATTTTAAACCAAAAAGGAATGCACAGTTGCGGATTTTTTTTAAACCTCAAAACTCATGCAGAGGCAAATGTATAATACAAATACAATGTATAATACAAATACACATTTCCCTACTCCTCTCACTGACTTACCTTTCTCCCTGCCCCTTCTGCCCAATACTAAGGGACAACTATATGAACATTATTTTTGTGTGTCTGTCCAGAAATTGCCTGTTTCTCACTAGTGTTATTTCCAAATCACACAGTTTGGTAGTTATGCAGTCTTATCAAACTCCAAGTCTTGTGATGTGCATAACAGGAATGAACAACACAGTAATGCAGTGAAGAAAAAAGGTCTTAGTTTGTAAACCTTTTATCAAAAAGTATATATATTTTTTAGACTAGAAAAGTGATGGTAAATGTTTATGTTAGAAAACTTGGAAAATAAATTAGCCTTTATATAGAAAACAATTACAGTATGTTGTGTGTCTGTTTTGTTTTTTCTGAGTCAGAGTCTCACTGTCTCCCAGGCTGGAGTGCAGGGGCATGCTCATGACCACTGTAGCCTCGACCTGCTAGGCTCAGGCTATCCTTCCACCTCAGCCTTCCAAGTAACTGGAATCACAGGTGCGTGCCACCATGCCCAACTAATTTTTTAATTTTATTGTAGAGACAAGGTCTTGCCAAGTTGCCCAGGCTGGTCTCAAACCCCTGGACTCAGGCAATCCTCTTGCTTCAGCCTCCCAAAATGCTGGCATTACAGGTGTGAGCCCTTGTGCCCAGCTTGTGGATCTGTTTTCTATGTCCTTTTCTTCTTTGGAAAACTTGAATAGGACTCTACAAACTGTTTAGTAATCTAATATTCTTTGCTTGAGAACATAGTGAATTGGGGATTAAAAGAGATATTAGCAGAAAGGTAAAAATAAGTATTGACTTTAAGAAGATAATGAAAAAAAGCTTTATTAAAATGCAATTAATATACATATACTTCCCCCATGTAAAGTGTTTACAATTCAGTAGTTTTCAGGGTATTCCTAGAATTGTGCAATCACTGTCATTCAATTTTCGAACATTTTCATCACTTTCAAAAGAAAACTCCAAACCATTACAGTTACTCCCCATTTTGCCCCAGCCTCTCCACCTCTAGTCAGCCACTAGTCTACTTTCTGTCTGTATGTGTTTGCCTATTTTGGGCATTTCATATAAATAGAATCCTAAATTATGTGTATTTTTTTATGACTGTCTTTTTTCAGTTAGTGTAGTGTTTTCCAGGTTAATCCATGTTGTAGCATGTATCAGTACTCCGTTCCTTTTTGTTGCCAAATACACCGTTGTATAACATCTTAATATGTTGGTAAACATTGAGATCGTTTCCACTTTTTGGCTATATGACTAAAGTTGCTATGAATATTTATGTACAAGTTTTTGTGTAGTCATATGCTTTTACTTGTCTTGGGTATATATTGATGGGTAGAATTGCTGCTCATATGGTAACTTTATGTTAAACCTTTTGAGGAATTGGCCAAACTGTTTTGCAAAGTGGTCCCACCATTTTACCTTTCCACCAGCAATATATAAGGGTTCTAGTTTTTTCACATCCTCGTCACCACTTGTTATTATCTGTCTTTTAAATTTTAGCCATCTAGTAGTTGTTCATTGGTATCTTATTGTGGTCTTGATTGCATTTTCCTAATAACTAATGATTTCAAGCATCTTTTTGTATACTTATTGACCATTTTTTTTTTTTTTTTTGAGTTGGAGTCTCATTCTTTGTTGCCCAGGCTGGAGTGCAGTGGCACACTCACAGCCACCACAGCCTCAACCTGCTGGGCTTAGGTGATCCTTCCGCCTCAGCCTTCCAAGTAGCTGGAACTGCAGACACACGCCACCATGCCTGGCTGGTTTTTATGTTTTTTATTGTAGATACGAGGTCTCACCAAGTTACCCAGGCTGGTCTTGAACCCCCGGGCTCAGATAGTCCTCTTGCCTCGGCCTCCCAAAGTGCTGGGATTACAGACTGAGCCACTGTGCCCAGCCACTTATTGGCCATTTATGTATCTTCTTTGGAGAAATATTTATTCAGATCCTTTGCTTCCTTTTAAATTTCATTATTTATCTTTTTGTTATTGAGTTATAAGAGTTCTTTATATATTCCAAAAACAAGTTCTTTATCAGACATATGAATTACAAAATTTTTCTCCCATTCAGTGTATTGTCTTTTCACTTTAGAAAATATTTTAAAACATTTATTTTAATGTTTTCTTAGAGATGGGGTTTTGCCGCGTTGCCCAGGCTAACCTCTAATATGTGGGCTTAAGGGATCCTGCTGCCTCAGCCTCCTGAGTAGCTGGAACTATAGGTGTGCACCAACATGCCCAGCTCTTTCACTTTCTTTATAGTGTGCTTTGAACCAGATATTTATAAATTTTATTTTACCTTTTGTTGCTTGTACTTTTGGTGCCATATATAAGAAACCATTGTTTAACCTGAGCTCATGAAGATATACACCTGTGTTTTCTTGTAAGAGTTGTATAACTTTAACTTTTATGTTTAGGTCTTTAATCCATCTCTGAGGACATATTTTTGTCCTTTATTTTGTATTAGGTGTGAGTTAGCAATCTAGCTTCATTCTTTTGCATTTGAATATTCAGTTGTCCCAGCGCCATTTGTTGAAAAGACTTATTTTCTCTGTTGAATGTCCTTGGCAGCCTTGTTAAAAACCAACTGACCATAAATGTGAGAATTTATTTCTGAACTCTCAGTACTTTTCAGTTGATCTGTAGGTCTCGCTTAATGCCAGTAACATGTGGTCTTGATTACTGTAGCTTTGTAGTAAGTATTGAAATCAGCATGATTTCACCAGCTTTATTCTTATTCAGTATCATTTTGACTATTCTGCGTCTCTTGAATTTGAGCAGAAATGTGAATTTTAGCATCAACTTGTCCACTTCGGCAAACAAGGTAGCTGGAATTCTTATAGGGATTGCACTGAATCCGTAGGTTAATTTGGGGATTATTGCCATTTTAACATGAATATGTTTTCTAATCCATTGACATGTTACATATTTCCATTTATTTAGGTCTTTAATATTTTCAACAGTGTTTTCTTGATTTAAGCAATCAGCTATATGTTTCCTTGAAGAGAATGTCAAAAGAAATTAGCCTGAGAGACATTAGAACCACTGAGGTGCCTTTCTTTTTTTAAAATAAAGCTTTCTTTTGACATTAGTTTACAAATGGTTCTGCAGAGCCTATGTTAATTCTGTATTCTTAAAGAAAAAAATACTGCTTTCACAATTTACTGATGTTATCAAAGTGATGAGAGTAATAATATAGTAATTTTTGTAGCACATAACATAAAGCTGCACTACTTTCTTTTATATACTGTAGACTCCTTTAGGAATCTAGTGAAACCTATGACTGTCTTTCCAGTAAAGTGAACATGTGGACATTTTATATACAGTTTCTGGGGATTTTCATTCCCTTCACCCCTGGACCCAAGGTAAAAAGTCCACTACTAGACTTCTACCTGAACATTTGCTTAAACTGTAGTTTAAAAGCAACTTATACTTAATTTTTAAAAATCTTTTAACCTGTTAACCTACGTTTAAATTATTTTTG